AGTAATTATTTCAGAAGAATGCAGAAATTGGTTGAAAGGTTCAGACAGAAAAACTTACATCGTCATTATCTGAGAGCTTTATTCATTTCTCACATGAAAATCTCATTATCATACTTATTAAGGTGGTGTTTTTTTAATAATAGAAAACTTTTAGATAATTCCTACATTGTAGATTGTAATGAAGCTTGGGTTAAAACTAGAAAGAACACTCATCTTAGTTTTATAGTTGACCTATGGGCACTGAGCCAGACCTGTTTGTTAAGTTATATTTATACAAATTCATAGTTGGATTCATAGTTGGATAGGGATGCTGGTTAAGTATTGCCTCATTTCTCACTAAATTAATTTATTTAGCCAGTGTTTATTAAGGTTCCAAAAGTTGCTGTACACTCTGAGACTAAAGCAGTAAAAAATAGTCACTATCTCTACTCTCATAAGGTTATATTTGTATAATGTCAGGGGAGAGAAATGATCAATCAATAAATAAAATGTCAGATGATGATAGCTGTTTTGAAAGAATAGGGTAGAATAAGGGATAGACGTGAAATCCTTGCATTTAAGAACAAAAGTCTCCTGGGCCCCACACCCTATCTGCTCTGTCAGTGGAGATGTCAGCTAATGGGAGTTCAGTGAGAATTTCCTGTGATTGAAGTCACACAGCTGAGCAATTGCTCTCAGCAGAAGCTTCTCTCATCCATATTGTCTCCTCTGTTACTCTTCCGTGTTGACTCTCATGTTCAGTAGCTTGTAGACCCTAGAATCTTACAGAACTTTTGCTGTGTCTTCTCAGTTTCTTTCATCTCTAAAGCAACTCTGCTGCCACTCAACTGCTGGACAGTTCATCTTTAAACATCCCACAAAGGACAGCTTGTAGTGGGCTTATCATGGCATCCTCTAGCTGCAGATCTTTGGATTAAGAGCTTTTTGGCTTTTAGTATTTACTTATGTTTTAAACTAGTTGAAAAAATTATAACTATAATATTTAACAATGGGGAAATATTCAAATAATACAGAAGAATATTTTAAAAACAAGTTTCTTTCCAACACACTTTCCCCAGGTTCAAACTATTCCCTGGAAGAAACTACATTTTTTTTTTTCTTTTAGACACAGGGTCTTGTTCTGTCACTCAGGCTTGAGTGCAGTGGCACAATGAAGGCTCACTGCAACCTTAGATTCTTGGGTTCAGAAGATCCTCCTACCTCTGGCTCCCAAGTAGCTGAGACTACAGGCACAAACCACCATGCCTTGCTAATTTTTTTATTTTTAATTTTTTGTAGACACTGGTTCTTGCTATGTTGTCCAGGTGGTCTTGAACCCCCAGCCTCAAGCAATCCTCCTGCCTCAGCCTCCCAAAGTGTTGAGATTACAGGCATGAGCTACTGTGCCTGACCAGGAGCTACTTTTAACAGTTTCTTTTGTATTTTTTCACATATATAAGAGGTAGAGACCTAATCCCCATTTTTACAATATTGAAATGTCTTATCAAGGATATAATTTCGCTATGTTTTTACCTCAATGGCTCAAAAAGTTCTCTGCATATCCCTGTAGGTCATCAGGCTAGAGGAGCAAAGCATATACTAATAAGGGCCCCACATAATACTGATGCAATGTGAAGTAATAGACTTTGCTAACAAACCCAAGACTTTTAAGAGAAAGAATCGACAAGAATGTGTAGCCTTGTATGGGGCAAAATTAACTCTGTCTTGGTCCAATTCCAGAAGGCATTGTGACATGAGTACAATAAAAACAATAAGAACAAAGGTTTGCTTTGTACTTCCAGTTCTCCCAAAACCTCCGCTGATGGTCGTCTCCTGAGTTTGAACGACTACCCATATGACTACCCATATTCTTGATTTCCTTTATAAAGTCTGAGCTCTGTTTTTCCAGATTTTGTCCTTTTTTTTTTTTTTTTTAATCGCAGGCCTCTAAGGCTTCTAATTTGCAATAAATTAAATAGGCTAACTTTGCATATTTCAGTAACAGGTATACCTTGTTTTATTGCATTTTACCGTATTGTGTTTTGCAGACATTGTTTTTTATAAATTGAAGGTTTTTGACAACCCTGCATCAAGCAATTCTATCAGCACCATTTTTCAAATAGCATGAGCTCACTTCATGTTCCTGTGTCACATTTTGATAGTTCTCACAATATTTCAAACTTTTAAATTATCAAAGATATATTATGGTGATCTGTGATCAGTGATCTTTGATGTTACTATTATAATTGTTTTAGGTGCCACAAACCATGCCCATATAAAGCAGCACATTTAATGAATAAATGTTGCATGTATTCTAACTGCCCCACCAACCAGCCATTTCTCATCTCTATCTTTCTCTCTCTCTCTCTCTTCAGGCCTCCCTATTCTCACAACAATATTGAAATTAGAGCAGTTAATAATGTTACAATGGTTTCTAAGTGTTCAAAGGAAAAGAATAATGCATCTCTCACTTTAAAACAAAAGCTAGACATGATCAAGCTTAGCAGGGAAGACATAATGAAAGCTAAGATAGGCCATAAGCTAGGCTTCTTATGCTAAACAGTTAGACAAGTTGCAACTGCAAAGCAAAAGTTCTTGAAGGAGATTAAAAGTGCAATTACACTGAACATATGAATGATAAGAATGTGAAATAGCCTTATTGCTGATATGGAGAAAGTTTTATTGGTCTGGGTAGAAGACCAGCCAATCATAACATATCCTTAAGCCAAAGCCTAATTCAGAGCAATGTCCTAACTCTTTAATTCTATGAGGGCTGAGAGAGGTGAGGTAGCTGCAGAAGAAAAGTTGCAAGCTAGTAGAGGTTGGCTCAGGAGGTTTGTGGAAAGAAGGCATCTCTATAACATAAAAGTCCAAGGTGAAGCAAGAAGAGCTGATGGAGAAACTGCAGCACATTATCCAGAAGATCTAGCTAAGATCATTGACAACGGTGGCTACACTTAACAACGGATTTTCAATGTCAATGAAGCCTCATATTAGAAGATATCATTTAGGACTTTCACAGCTAAAGAGATAGGAAGCCAGCTGGGTGCAGTGGCTCACACCTGTAATCCCAGGACTTTGGGAGGCCAAGGTGGGCAGATCATCTGAGGTCAGGAGTTCCAGACCAGCCTGGTCAACATGGTAAAATCCCATTTCTATTAAAAATACAAAAAATTAGCTGCGCGTGGTATCAGTCACCTGTAATCCCAGCTACTCAGGAGACTGAGGCAGGAAAATCGCTTGAACCCAGGAGATGGAGGTTGCAGTGAGCTGAGGTCGCACCATTGTACTTCAGCCTGGGCAACAAGAGCAAAACTCCATTAAAAAAAAAAAAAGCCCAAGAGATATGAAGTCAATGTCTGCCTTCAAAGCTTCAAAGGACAGGCTGACTCTCTTGTTAGGGCCAATGCAGCTGGTGACTTTAAGTTGAAACCAAGTTTATTTAACATTCTGAAAATCCTAGGCCTCTCAAGAATTATGCTAAATCTACTCTGCCTGTGCTCTAGAAATGAAACAACAAAGCCTAGATGATAGCACCTCTGTATAACATGGTATACTAAATATTTCAAGCCTCTGGTGGAAATCTACTGCTTAGGAAAAGAGATTTCTTTCAAAATACTGCTGTTCATTGATAATGCAATGATAACCTATTGATAAACCTAGTCACCCAAGAGCTTGGGTGGAGATGTACAAGGGGATAAATATTGTTTTCATATCTGCTTAACACAGTAACTATTTGACAGCCCATAGAATAAAGAGTAATTTTGAACCTCAAGTCTTTTTTTGTTTTGTTTTGTTTTTTTTGAGACGGAGTCTTGCTCTATCGCCCAGGCTGGAGTGCAGTGGCACGATCTCGGCTTACTGCAAGCTCAGCCTCTTGGGTTTATGCCATTCTCCTGCCTCAGTCTCCCGAGTAGCTGGGACTACAGTTGCCCGCCACCATGCCCGGCTAATTTTTTTGTATTTTTACTAGAGACGGGGTTTCACCGTGTTAGCCAAGATGGTCTCGATCTCCTGACCTCGTGATGCACCTGCCTCGGCCTCCCAAAGTGCTGGGATTACAGGCGTGAGCCACAGTGCCCAGCCCCAAGTCTAATCTTTTAAGAAATACATTTCATAAGGCTACATGGATAGTAATTCCTCTGATAGATTTGGACAAAGTAAATTGAAAACCTTCTGGAAAGGATTTATCATTCTTAATGTTATTAAGATCATTTGTGATTCATGAGAGGAAGTCAAAATATTGACATGAACAGGAGTTTGGAAAAAGTTAATTTCAACCCTCATGGATGACTTTGAGGAGTTCATGGCTTCAGTGGAGGGAGTAACTGCAGATATGGTGAAAATAGCAAGAGAGCTAGAATTAAAAGCAGAGCCTGAAGATGTAACTGAATTGTTTTAATCTCATGATAAAACTTGAAAAAAAATAAGGAGTTGCTTCTTATGGATCAATGAAGAAAGTGGTTTTTGAGATAGAATTTATTCCTGGTGAAGATGCTGTAAACATTGTTGAAAGGACAACAAAAGATTTACAATATTGCATCAATCTAGCTAATAAGGCAGTGGCAAGGTTTGAGAAGATTGAGTCCAGTTTGAAAAGAAGTTCTACTATGGGCAAAATACTATCAAATAGCATTGCATGCTACCCAGAAATCTTTTGTTAAATGAAGTGTCAATCAATGAGGCAAGTTATTGTCTTATTTTAAGAAATTTCCACAGCCACCTTGATCAGCAACCACCACTTTGATCAGTCACCAGCCATTAACATAAAGTCAAGACCCTCCACCAGCAAAAAGATTATGACTCATTGAAGGTTCAGATGATCATTAGCTTTTTTTTAACAATAAGTATTTTAAATTGATGTGTATGTTGTTGATCTTTCATTTTTCACCTCAAGATCATTGAATATATATGTAGTTTTAGACAATGCTACTGCATATTTGATAAACTACAATACAATGTAAACATAACTTTTGTATGCACCGAGAAACCAAAAAAATTTGTATCTGTCTTTACTGCAGTATTTGCTGCCTTGGTTTGTTCTGGAACTGGACCTGCAATATCTCCGAGGTATGACTGTAATTACTTCTTTTAATAAATATGTGTTTATAAAGGAAATTTTATATAATCATACATAGAAAACAAATACATATTTGTATAAATAGAATACAAGTAGAAAAATAAATGCTATTAAATAAATAATATTATTAAATTATAGCTAGATTCCATTGCCAGCCAAGTCCCAGAGCCTGAAGCCTACTATTTTCCTGTGGGGAGAAAAAAAAAGACATTTCTCCTAGAAGTATTCAGAAGAATAAAAAGGGAATGAAGAAAAATGACAAGAAAAAAATTGTAAAATACCTTTCCACTTAGGGATGCACAACCCAGATCCTCCTTCAAGGATTGATGGGATGTAGAGCTGCAGGGAGTGCAATCAGCAGATGGCCTCCAGCTGTGGACTCCTTCAGTGCTGTCTCAGCTGCAGAGAGCCACCCTATCCAATTCAAGTCCTTCCCAGAGCAGTGCACATCCAGTAACTGAGTGAGTCATGGGTATAAGGCCTGGCTGATTTGGCCCAATGAGAGATTACTCTGACAGGCAATACTTGTACTGGAGTTTCCCGCAGGGTGGTTGGGGCTTCGTTAGGCCTACATCATGGTTTGACTTTTTCCTCTGCTCAATCCCAATTTCTTTCTGTTTCTTCCACAGATGTAGATATCTAAGAAATGTCTCTACCGCAAACTCCACCTCAGCATCTGCTTCTGTAGATTCCAGCCTGGCATAAAGGTTGTTTTTTTTTTTTTTTTTTTTTTCAGATGGAGTGGAGTCTCCCTCTGTCACCCAGGCTGGAGGGCAGTGGTACCATCTTGGCTTACTGCAACCTCCACCTCCTGGGTTCAAGTGATTCTCCTGCCTCAGCCTCCTGAGTAGCAGGGACTACAGGCACCCACCACCATACCCAGCTAATTTATGTATTTTTAGTAGAGATGGGGTTTTACCATATTGGCCAGGCTGGTTTTGGTGTTTAATATTGGGTCATTTTGCCACTAGAATGTAGTCTAGTGCCACAAAGAGAACTTGAATTCAGAGTCAGAAAAAAACTAAAATTTAATGTTCTAGTTGCATTTGATAAAGTTTTTTCACTTCCAGATTTTCACAGTGTTATTAAATCTCAAATAACAATAATAATTCCTCACCGAACTTCTTTATTCAATGAATAAACACATATAAAGAATTTAAGACAGGACTTGTTCCAGAAACTATTCTAGATCTAGATTATGTACTATAGCATATTTTCATTGCTCTCTAATAAAAAGTTGAAACGAACCACAAATTTGAACCACGTACGTGGTTTAAATTTTTTAGTGGGCACATATAAAAAAGTAAACTACAGTTGAAATTAATTTTAATAATATATTTTATTTTACCAAATATATTCAAAATATTATCATTTCAACATGTGGTCAATTCAAAAAATTGTTAATGACAATTTTACTTTTGGGGGGTATACAAAGTCTTCAAAAACTGGTGTGTATCTCAGCACTTGGCTTTCATGTCATTTTGCATGTGCCATGCTTCAGTTGCTCATGAACAACATATGGTTGGTGGCTGCCATGTTGACAACACAGTTCTAGAGCAAACCTTGGGTTATATCTCCAATCCATGGTGAGCCTTCCATAAAAATGGAGAATTATAGAAGCTAAAATGTCACAGGAAATCTACAGAAGGCTGGACTAGGGTGAAGTCAGTGAGAGGAAATACCTTCAGAGAGCTCACTTTCTCTCCTAAATGCTCTTGGTCTGAAAGTTGAGAGTCTCCTAGATAGCATGCTAGACAGATAATTAGTGGAAACATAAACTTCATTTATTCAGAGAAATTCCTTCTCCAAATTTAGCAGAAATATAATTCAAGGTTATAAGTACATAGTTGTACTCTTCAGCAAAGATCTTATGTATAGCAAAATGTGAAAAAAGTCCCATTCTCCAGGGGTGGAAAATAAAATAAAAAATGTAAAAGCAAATTTGAGTATAAGAAGATATACTGATGTCCCAAGATGTCTTTTTGAGACTGCTAGGATGAAACAATATTATTTGTGATATTCAGAAGGAACAGGGGAGAAATTGAAAGAGTTAAAACGAAAAAAAAAAAACGTGATAAAGAAGGAATATCAGCCTGTTATTATCACCCACTCATTTATTGAATCAATGAATAGTGCCTGAGTATCTACTAAAAGTATGAAAGAGTTAGCATTTATTGATAGTTGAACATGTGTCACTCACTGTCTTAAGTACATGCATGGATTGAACAATCACATTGTAGGTATGATTATAATCCCAATATGATGTATGAAGGAATTGAAGTAAGAAGAAGTTAATCAATAAACCCAGGGTCACACACCCAGTGTAGGATAGAATCAAAACTATCTCAGGCAGTCTAATTCCAGAACTGTACCCTTAACCACCATGAATTGCTAAGTGGAAAACAAAGATGAATCAAAGTTAGTTATCACTTTTTTAAAACTTAAGCCCTAGAGAGAAGGATAAGCATACAAATCAATCTTATAATAGAGAGAGTAAAATGTATGAGGCCAGGAAAAAGTTCAGTGGGAGCACCTGGAAGAGTTTAATATGTTCCTCCTTATCTTACAGATGAGTAAAATCAAGTCTAGCAATAGCTCACTAATGTGTTCAAATATTATGAAAGAACCCTGTTTAAAACAAAATCTTGTTTCTCCCAGGGGTACAGTGAGGAACTCTTAGTCCATTCTCTGCAAAGTGGTGGCTGTTCTTCTAATAATATCACATTTCAGTTTCTTCCCCTTTTTCCAAGGGCTTTATGCACAAACTTTCCAGTTTTTCAAGGTTTCTATTTTGTTCAGTGCTTTTTGATTAACATTTTACTGTACCAGATCATATGCAAATAATATCAGTAACTCGGGCAGTAACTCAGGAAGTAAATACAGTAAATATGAGGAAAGAAAACTGTCACACCTACTCATGTGCTCTTGTCACTTGAGAATATGTGTGGATGATAATTAAAGGATATTTCAGCTGAAAAGTGGGAGGATTTATTGCTCTCAGGCTGTCGTCTTACATTTATGAGAGTGGATTTTATGTTTCTCAAGATATCTTGCTCATGAAGATAACTCATTTACAATCCAAGCATAGCTCCTCTGATTATCTTGGGAAATACGTCTGCAGATGCTGCGTTGAAACAACTGGAGACCCCAAGGCTACATTTTTCAATATATAAACACTCTATTATTCCTAAATGACATTATGTCATCTACAACTGTTCTTGTTGACATATGTGAATTCCATAAAGCAGTATTTCCCAAAGTGTCCTTAAGGTTTTCTGTGGGGGAAAAGTAGTTCCAAAATAAAAGACATTGGGATATATGGGTTAATTTATTTATTTCATAACTTCTCAGGGACTTTAATATGCTAATGTGAAAACTATATTTACAAGTACTTGCCAAAAATATTTGATCAAAATCTTCACCCATACCACCCCTGTTTATTTTTATTTGTTGAGGAGTGTTTTCTAGATTTAGGGTTGGTCTAAATATATGAATTTAAACCATATACAATTGCCAATATTTGACCATTTTTATTTTACAAAAATGGTAACATGATGCAGTTCTATTTAAATAGTTTGGCAGCACTGCATTAAAGCTGAATTCTAAGAGCTGTTCAGGGATTTAGATTATACTTTGATTTCTGCTTCACAACCCTTCCTAATGTTCACTGACCCCTAACTTAATCTAGGTTTGCTCTTGATACAAGAATGTGTTCTACTTGTCAGAATGTCTCTGTAGGTATTGACTCTCCATAGTGGCCGCTCACAGACAAGTGGAACTTCTTTATTATTATCATTATTATCATCATTAGATTAATATAATTTGGACCTCCTACCTCTAAAGATACATTTTACCAGAAAAAAAAAAAAATGCATCTTGTTGCTTGAGAAAGTTGAATGCAGGCTCTATACTCAATCAATAAGTTCATTTCATTGGCAGGAAATCAATATTCATGACACAATTAGTGGTGGTAGTGGTATGACAGTTTTAGTAATACCAGCTAATGGAAATCACAATCCACTCAAATTTGAAACACAAAAACTTAATCTATTTCTTTTTCAAACAAGAGAGAAATCAAGAGCTTCAAACCCTTGCTAAGCAAAGAATGCTTTTCTATGGATATTTGGAGAAGTGTAGAATTTACATTAAATCTAAATAAAGCAGTGCTTTTATTGACTAAAAGTAAAAGGGGACATGTGAGAGGAAAGGCAGGGTAAAAACTTCCAAAAATAATCTCCTTTATAAAAGTAATGAAAATTCTGGCAAAATTAACTTCTTTTGTAACCACATGCATTAACTAAAGTCTTAAAGCAATTTAAAGGACATTTATTGAGGAAAATGGCTGAATATCTTGACAGAAGCAACCTTTGTCATGTTTCAACTTGTCCTACTCTTAACCCTTTCCCAAGATTCATGATAACCTTGCAAAACAACAACCCCCAGTTATGTTAAAATCAGCACCCTGACAGCCACTAGAGAAGTCATAATAGAATTGGAACTGAACTGCTTCAAAGCATCCTCCCCCAAAATTGCCATTATTTGAGCTGTCTGGTGGTTCCCTAGAAGAACTCACTTGCAAGGATTGTCTTTGCCTGACTTGGAAAACATCAAATGCAAACACTGTTTTCCTTGGGTATGTTTTTCAAAAACAATTAGCAGCAAATGTTTAATATTGCAGCTGCCTGAGGCAGTAGATAACATATAGGGAAAATAATAGGCTACTTAAAATAATTTAAAAGGAAAAGCTGGGGAATGAGATGTTCATAGGGTTTTTTTAAAATGTCAATGTAATCCTGAGGATCTAGATGGCTACATATATGTACAGGGCTCTGCACATGCCCAGAGTTGTGTACAACCTCAGAAAAGACCTGAGAAGGCCCTGAGATTTTAGCTTGGAAAGACATGAGACTCTGCAAATAGAAAGTAAAGGCTTAGGCAGAGTTGTAAACTGCCTGATTGAGTACTGAAGGCATGCACACACACACACACACACACACACACACACACGCAAAACTCCACAGCAAAAAGCAAGAGATATACTAGTTTCAGGCATTTAAGGAAATGTTTGTCCAAAAATTAGCAGACCACTAAGCTAACTGAGCAGAGACTTCATGGCCACACACAACAGAGAATACAGATTTTATAGAATTAGTTTTAAAAAGTCACTAAACAAACAGCCAGCAGCAGCAATAATATCTTGCAAAGTGTAAGAATCTGATTTCCAGAGCTCCCATATTACATTACTTAAAATGTTCAATTTTCAAAAAATAAATTACTAGATATGCAAAGAAATAAGAAACATCTAAAATGCAGCTGGTCCTGGGGGAAGACCAAACGTTATACTTACTAGAAAAGACTTCAAGTCAACTGTTTCAAAATGTTAAAAGAACAAAAAATAAGCTATGTCTAAAAAAACTAAAGAAGGTTATGATAATAATGGCTCACTAAATACAGAATATTAATAAGAGATAGAAATTACGTTTAAAAAGAATCAAATAGAAAGTCTAGACCTAAAAGTATGGTAATGGAAATGAAAAACTCGCCGGAGCATTTCAACATCGGATTTTATTAAGCAGGACAAAGAGAAAAGGTCAACTGAGGTTATTCAGGATGAGGAATAGGAAAATCAAAAAGAACAAAAATGACAAGAGCCTCTGAGACCTATAGGACACTTTCAGACATGCCAATATATGGATAATGTGAGCTCA